AGTGTTATGATCATCTGAACCAAAACAGAAATTAAAGCCAGAAAAATGTATGACATTGCTCAGAACTGTACTCTCATGGTTTGACCTCACTTGCCACTGTCCCTTAGTGTTTCAGGAAAGAGTGGCCACTTCTGCAGACTAACAGTAGCATTATGGGAAAGCAAAGGCCTGTGCCGAAAAATGATTGTCTCCTAGCAGCAGGTGGTCTGATGGGAAGAAAGCATCTTTGTCTTGACCCTTGCTTAGCTTTGACTAATCAGAACTGACATTTGACTATACACAAGACTAGCTAACATTCTTAACCCTTCATCCAGCTCCTGCATCTGTCATCCAATTACTTTCCATTTCCTCTTCTTTAGAATGCAAACTAATGAATGAAGTAACCTCTCTAATAATTACATTTCAAACCAATACACTTCATTACTGGTGTCTGAAGAGTCTGAGAAAAAAATATAATAGGGAGATCAGCTACTGCAACCAGGCCCAAATATTGATAGCATAACACCCTTATGGTGTCTCTAACACTCCTGTCACGACTTCTGTTCAGGTTTTCAGAATGATGTGAGGCTCCATCTGGGTTTTCTGGAACCCATATCCCGTCATTTAATGGCTCCACTAACTTCTTCAAATCTTCTTCTTTATCCTCTGAAGATATGGGAGGAAATACACACACACACACACACACACACACACACACACACACACACACACACACATATATATATATATATTCCAGAGGTCAGCATTACATATCTTCCTCTATTGCAATTCACATTCTTTTTGAGATGAAATATCTCCCTGAGCCTGGAGTTCACTGATTTGTCTAGACTTGCTGTCCAAGGATTCTCTCATCTACAACTCCCCAGCACTGAGATTAGGGGTATGTACCAGAAGTTTTACAGGGATTCTATGGGATTAGATTCAAGTCCCCATCCTTGTATAGAGTGGGAAGCAATTTACCAAGTGAACCACCTCCTCAGGCCCCACTGGAAATGTCTTTGTATCAAGAACAATACACACCACCTTCACTCACATTCACCAGAAAGAAATATTCATGTGTCCCCACCCAAATACACAGGAATTTTAACCTGCCAGTGTTCCTAGAAAGAAATAAGCATGGAAAATGGAAAATGGTGAGTCTTAGCACTGTGTCAGTTGAGGGATGATCCATAAATTTGGGTTGCCAATTTGCCTCTATCATGTATTTGAAGGTATGTATTTCTGCATAGCAATGTACTCAGAAATTCAGCTAATGGACTTGATGTGGTCAAAACTGAAAACAGGCACAACGGGCTTATCTTGCTTCTGTTTCATGGGAGTAGACTCAGCAACACGGACTGCAATCATTGAAAGGTTCCTCGTTCATGTGTCTGTCACCTGATGCCGGCCATTAGTGAAAACCTCAGCTGAGGCTGGTGAACAAGAAGCTTCCCATGGAGCCTCATGTGGCTTCCACTTCTTTATGATATGGTGGCATCGGGGAATCGGATCTCTGGTGTGGCATCTCAGAATAACAAAAACAACGCACTAACTAGACGGGGCAGATGCTTTGTGGCCATTCCTAACATAGCCTCAGTCATTTCTGCTGTAGTCCTCTGACTTAAATACTTACAAGCTGACTCTAATTCAGGGAGAAAGGACCCAGATTCACATCTCAATAGGAGAATACTGAGCCACAGGCAAATGACCATATGGAGTGAAAGATATTATGGTGTCTCATTTGGGAAATTATAATCTCCCACATACGTCAATTTAGACTAACTGAATTTCCCTGTGTGAAGTGCTTTGTGCTTTATAGAAGAATGGGCAGCAAACCATGGACCTGTGCCTGTTTCTATAAACAAAATTTTATTGAAATACAGCCATGCCTATTCATTAGCAAAGTTGCATAGCTCCAAAAGAGACCATATGTCCTGAAAAGGCAACATTATTAATTCTCAAGCCTGGGCAGTTTGCTAACTCTGTGATGGAATATTGATTAAGGATGTGGGTGCCATACTACTAGATTTCAAATGTCCTTTTTGAGACAGGCTCACATGTGTTCCAGGAAATTCTGACCCTCCTACCGCTACCTCTTAAGTATTGGGATTATAGCCTATACCACCACACTTACTTTATATAGTGCTGGGTGTTGAGTCTATTGCTATTTTTTATTCCGTGGGAACACTCCCAACTGAGCTCCATCCCCAGCCCTAGTTGTGTGGTTTAGAACAAACCCTAGGTATCTCTAGACTGCCATTTTCCAGCCATTGTAACTGAGAAAACAATTAAGTCTGACATGAAGATGTGAGCACCAAGCAAAATAATCCACTAAAAAGGTATAATAAACAATCACAAATGCTGATTTCCATCATTAAATATCAGCTACATCAGCTTCCAAATGAGTGATATGCTTGTATCCAACTTTTCACTTTCTGTAGTTTTCAGTATACCTAGTGAAGCAGGAAGCCCGTTTCATTTTTATCCATATAACTGGGGATTTCTTTCTTCAGCTGGCTTGTAACCCATCTCTCAAAGCTCAATGCTATCAACCCCGGTAACATTTCCAAAGTTCTATAAAAACATCTAACCCAGCTCTTCAAATACATGACAAGTCTTCTCTGGATTTTAGCCACATAGCTTCTGTCCCTTCCATATTCTCTCATGAGAATCTCCTTCCCTTTGGGGCAATTCTCTTCAAAAGTCATTTCCCCAGGTATCAGCAAAATGTCTCAGTCCTGCACAAAGAGCCCAGCTTGAGCCCTAAACTCTCCATACTCTACTAGTGCCACAGATCTTGACTTCTCCTGCCCTGGAAAAGTTTTTCTGATGGGTTAGTAGACTGGTTGTTTTTGTCATTATCGTTGTTGTTTGTTTTTGTTTCCTTTCTTATATCCTGGAGTAGCACATTATATTTATGCCTTTATGTTTAATTTTACACTCTAGCCTCTTCAGATTTTTCCAGATACTGCGACTAGTGACTAGAGTTTAGAACTGTCACTGTTCCTGCCAGCCTTATACCACCACACATATTTCAGATGACTCAGTCCAAGTCACTCCTAAATATTTCATCAGGTTGAACTCAGTACCATGAGTGGTCTAAACCCAGTTAGAGCAGCTGGGTACCATTTTAATAATTGCACTGCCTCCGCTTGGACTCCCCAGGACCTCTCTCACTGTTGAGCCAGCCTCATGATAAAAAGTGTCCTTCCTCTGATTAAGAAAAGATGAAAGGAAATATGCATATACATGTTTTTGGAGCTGACTGTTTGGCACTGGACAACCAATTAGTGTGCTCTTCCCAGGGGAGGACCACCTCTCCAATTCTCAGCTTTACTCACTTTCTTACAGATCTTTGTGTAGGACTGAGGCATCCTGGGATTTTTCCCTGGGCAGTTTTGTGTGTTTGTTGGTGTTCCTCTTGTTCAACTCATGTTTGGGAGGTCATGTTGGTAAGATATTACAGGTATAGCGTCTGGTGTTACTAGGAAACAAAATCTCGAAACAATGTCCCTGATTCTCTGGCTCTTAGATTACTTCTACCCCCTCTTCTGCAATGTTCACTGAGCCTTAGGTGTGGGAGTGTTTTGTAGATCTATCCACTGAATCTGAGCTTCACAGCTTTGTATAGTAGTTGGTTGTGGATTTCTGTAATAGTCTCTCTGTCTATTGCAAAGAGAAGTTCCCTTGATGAGGAGTGAAAACTACAGTTATATGTGCGCTTATATATTGCAGTTATATATTGCAGTTATGCTGGGTTAGCAAATTAGCACTTGTAGATTCTCCTCCAGTCATGTTAGCAAATATCATAAATCATGAAACTGTCTCTAACCTTTAATTTTTTTCTAGCAGAGAAAATTGGTAAAGTATAGCTTTGTGAAGCCTAGATTTATGTTTTGGTAGCTAAATTATGTTGTAACATACTATCTGTTAGGTTAGTCCATGACTATGTATCTGGCCACATGACTTGTCATAGTGAAGTACAATACAACCAGTTAATTGAAGTATAAAATCCAAGTACATGTATTTTCTGAATTCACATCATGTACCTAAGAAAAGACTGATAGTGAGTGGGAATGAGAATGCAACACTAATTTTAAAATTAACCCTGCTACAAGTATCCAAATCTAGATTCAACATGCAGCATGGATAGGTTTGTATTTCATCATTTACTGTTTTGAAAATTCCACCTTTAAGCCAGGTGGTGGTGGCACTTGCCTTTAATCCCAGCACTATCTCTGTGAGTTCGAAACCAGCCTCGTCTACAAGAGCTAGGTCCAAGACAGCCTCCAAAGCCTCAGAGAAACCCTGTCTCAAAAAAAGAAAAGAAAAGAAAAGAAAATTCTACCTTTATAAATTCAATTTTTAAATCCTAGTAATATATTTTTAAATGATTTGATAAAATATCAAAAGCAAGTATCCATACAAAGAAGGTATCTAAGCATTAAATTCTGGTTCAATTTAATTATTTGGATGAGAATCTTCTAGGGTGAAACAAATGAAAGGCCACTATCTCTAAAGATAGTTTTAGGAAACTGAGAGTTGTTGTATGCATTTGTGAATCTAGATTTTAATTTTTTTTCATGGTTAGCCACCTACAACAGAAATAATTCAGGAGAACTGTAGGAGGCTGGTGAGATGGCTCTGTGCTTAACAACAGTTGCTGCAGGTTGGAAAGATGGCTCAGTGGTTAAGAGCACTGATTGTTCTTCCAGAAGACCTAAGTTCAATTCCCAACAACCATATGGTGGTTCATAACTATGGGCAATAATATCTGGTCCCCTCTTCTGGCCTGCAGGCATACATGCAAATAAATAAATCTTTAAGGAAAAAAAAGAATACAGGCATCACATCTAAGAAAAAATTAAAATAAAAACAAGCAAACCAGAATAGGACACACATAGTTTAAAAATAAAACGTTTTCTTTAAAAAAAATTCTGTAAATGTTTCATAAATTATATTAATAATTCATTTTTTGGTAAAACTTACCCTTCTCTTTTGTTTTATTTTCTCCTCTTTAGGTTTGGATGTGTGGAGGAGAAATGTTTGACGTTCCATGTTCTAGAGTCGGTCATATCTACAGGAAGTATGTCCCTTACAAAGTTCCATCTGGGACCATCCTGGCAAGAGTGAGTAACTGGGCAACAGAATAGTCTGGGCTCACCTCGGCCTACTTCCTGTAGGCGGGTACTCGACCAAACACATGGTTGTCAAGAGTTCCTGTTCCTCTGCTTTACCTCCATTGTTTAAAGAAGTAGTAACTGGGATGGATTTCGTCATGTGTCACAGCACCTTCACATGCATTATATTTAATATTAACCATTACCTTCTGCTAATCCTTGTTAGCAGCTTTAAATACCAATTGGGTCAGCCACCAGTCCAGGCTAGGTGCAGGTCTCCAGTGTTACCTACTGCAGCTTTCAAGACCAAGTGGAGACCTAGAGAAGTGGCTTGCTCATGAACACATGAATGACCAACAGTAGCAGTGTGAAACCAGGCCTTCCTCAACGTGGAGTATAATTAGTCGCATAAAGTAAGGAGTAAAAGAGATGGGGAAATAGATGCTCAAACTCGAGTTTCTCCTCCTTTAGAACTAGAGTTAACACTAGATAGAGATTTAGACCGTCCTCAAATTTCCCATAATTAACCAAATCTAGTTTTATTTCATTTTTGTTTTGTTTAGAATGAAATTTTTCTTATAGATTAAATGCAAGGATACTTTTATCGTCTGCTTTTTAGAAGTTTCCTTGCCTGTTTGGGAAGATATAAAATCACAAACCTTCTCCAGACAGCCCTAACTATGTGCCTGTCCTCCATGTTGCTTTCTTCTTGGTTTTGTCTGTTCTCCTCACCACATTACATAGGTACAACAAATCTAAAAATGTGATTATTCCAGATGCATTAGTGCTATGATCCCCTAGGGCTCTAATTTTGAGTTACTTGTTTTGATTTCTTTACTAAAGTGCAATGCATGTCCACTTGAGTATTTTCTTCACAATTCAATATACAATTCAAACTGAAATGACCACTTTATGTAAAGCATAATAATACTTATTACTATTGTTATTAGGAACTACTTCACAAGGATTCATTCACACATCAGTCTCACAGAGGCAGAGCTTTTGGGTCTGTTATTTTACATTATGCCATGATCTAAAATACAGCTTAGAGAACATTCAGATAACTTATTGAAGAGTTTAATTAATTAGACTCCTCAAGGACAAAACATAGGTTCAAGTTGTTAATAAAACTTAAGACATTTTAATGAACTTTAATAAAATTATCATCCTTAGTAAATCCCTTCAGGCTCCTGTTCCTCCTCCCTTGCTTTGTAAAGCTGTCAAAAGCATTCTCATTTTTTTTTCTCTACCCACACCCAAGGTCCTTTTAAAAGTAGTGAGACATTCTGGAATGAAATTACATTGCACATTCCTTAACGGGAAATCATCATCATACCACTCCCTGCTTCCTCCAAAATAGTAAGATATTAATAATGCACTGCACTAAATACATGTTTAAAAACACTGTTGGGGGGGGTGGTCATGAAATCATAAATGGATTAAAGTGCTGTATTTTGGATAAAGAAATACAGTCTAATTTAGTCAAAGGACTTAATGCATATGAATGAGGAAGCCACACAAATTCACAGGAAGGTTAAAGAGGAAACAAATTCAAGTACACATTACAAATCAGCTGTGTGAGTATCACTGCAGTGCACACATTCTAAAGATAATGAATGGTGTCTTGCCATTTGTCTACTTCCTGTCACTCATTCTCTACAACTTGTGCCTCATTCATTGGTGGGTGGACCATGCCCGTCGCCAGCTCATCGTGTAAAAGATAAGTGGGGAAAGCAAGGTTGATCCAAAAAGAGGTTGTTTGCAAAAAAATAAAACAGCTCATATATTTTAGAAGAGAAATGAGGCACTTTGTCAAAAACTGTCAAATATGGGGAAACTAGGGTTGGCACATAAAACATCCAGGAAAAAGTGAATATTCATTCAAATGAAAGGAGTCCATAACTCTGAATTTTAATCTTTTCCACTTAAATTTTACTTGAGGGCTCATTTTAGTTTTTTTTTTTTTTTCCTAAACTGCTAGAGCAATCAGAAAGTCATAAATATTGAGGCTCAAATGTCACTCTCAGGAACATTTTATGATCTTCAGAAGTATATTAAAATGAAAAACAATTCTGATATTTTGTGGGAGAGACTCAGCTACTTTGCCACACTGTGCTAGGTCTAAATCATCAAAAAACACGATGAGAAATGTAGTGTCACATCCCGTCGATGGATATTTTAATCTTCTTGGCCTCCTTAGGAAATGGAGATGAACCTGGCAACGTGACCCCAAAGGCTTGTTTATGTACTTTACAAAGCTCATTTAATCCGGTGAAAATGTGTACTTTTCATTTACGGACTTATGAAACTGATGATGCCAGCTGCCACCAAATACACAGAGGTGTAAACGCATGCTCATGCATGCACACACATGCACACACACACACACACACACACACACACACACACACACACACACAGGATGAAGTCCTCTAGTCAATCACCAGTGTATATTATTAGAAACAAATTCAAATAACCTTATTTTAACACTTTCTCTTTAGCGCCGGTCTCTGACAACAGGACATGACACAAGTTACCCATCTGTGAAATACATGATAACAAATGAGTCTCCACATTTGGTGAGAACACGGGTCTACACATCAGAAGGAGGGGCAGTGCTATTATTATAGTTCTGAACTTGAGACCTTGTAAATAAAAAGCTTAAAAGAAGAATATTAAGGATACCTCGGTTTGATTAACAGATTTCTGTTTTTTTAAGTTTGATTTATTTTTTCAAAACATCTCCCTTACAAGCAAAGGGATGCTGGAAGATCGGTGTAACGGTCATCATTTGATACAAGGAAAGATGAGCTTAGTGCCAAATGCGCTTTCATGGTCCACACACAGAGCAATGGTCCAAACCAGCGCTGTGGTCCCTTGTTGTCCGGGAGAAGGTCCTGGTTCCCTTTACTCATCTTCATAGCCAGTCGGAAGTGGGTTCACATGAGGGTTGTGGAAGAGGGTGTGGCTACCATCTCCCCAGGGGAAGATCTTGGTCCCATCTCCCCAGGGGAAGAGCTTTGGTCCTAATGTGGAGATAGGGGTAAGTGAGGAACATAGGGTCTCTAGTGCTCTCTGTGTCGCCACTTCAGGAAGAGGTTGAGCATGCTCACTCCCACCCTGGGAACGCCACGAAGTAGGTGATGGCCTTCCACATGTGAGCTGAACCCTCCTCATTGTGGATGTCACTCGACATGTGCCGCCCCACCCGTGGGAGAGCCCAGCCCAGCACCCAGATGCCCCAGAGGCACATAGCGCTGCCACCCTCTTGGAACTCGATTAACAGATTTCTAAGAACAAGGTTTTAAAATCCAGAACCAGTGACCAGAGTCCACTTCTAGCCATGTTTTCACCCAGCCTTCAGTGAATTGAGAAAAAACAAGAATCATAAAGCTGTGTTTACTTGATCTAGCAATATAGGTTGTATGCGTTAATACAGGGTTCTCTCTTACCGCAGAGTTCGGGGTAGTCAGTTTGTCATTGTTAATGTCTTTATTGCGTAAAAGCAAAAAGTTAACCTCCCTGTGTCATTTTCCTCAACACGGAAAATTTTGGTGACTTACTATGCAGTTTCCTAGGGTAATCAGAGGGTTTGCTTGGCATTCAAAAACCTGTTTACTTTTCTGAGTCGACTTGGGACCTAATGTCAGCACACTGGAGCGCAACCGTGGCATCTTCCGCTGGGAGCAAATGAGCAGTCCCTGGAGAAAGGATGACCCTCTCCACAGTTGTTGAGAGTGGAAGACTCAAGTGTTGTCACGACCGTCGTCTGCTCCAGAAGGGCAGTGGCTGCGCCTCAGCACAGGAAGGACAATGAGCAGCGGAGGTCAGCTGAGTAACAAATGGGCAGCAGGATGCCACGTCAACGTCTCTTTCTGACAAACACTCTGCTAAAGCAGGAGAAATGACTAGCACTTTGGGTGCTGTGGGAAGGGACTCGAACTTGCTCGTAGCTGCCAGTGTGTCCTGAGATCTTCAAAGCCGCTAGGTGTGAAAGGGGTACTCTGATAGTGAAGACGTGTAAAGAAGGGCAATCGCCCCACGGCAAACCACCCCAACTGAGCATAATAGCAGCATCGTGGCCCTGGGAAGTTTCCCTAGGAGGGTTCCCCAAAGAGGACAACTCTATAGACTGTGAGGTGGGCAGTCCTGGAAGCACAAACTGCTATTCTCACTGCTGACGGGAGAAAAGGCTGGAACCAAGCGTGGGAGAGGGGCAAGTTCGTATGTCTGTAAACTCATATGTATGTACCTGCGTGTAGGGGCCAGAGATCAGCCTCTACTGTTGTTCCTCACAGGCTGCCCACTTCATCCGTCACAAGGTCTCTCCTGGGACCTGGTTTGAAGCGTTCATTAGTCAGTAAGCCCTGGGGATCCACCCTTCTCCAGATACCTAGCCCTGCGATTGTGGATGTGCACTGTAGTGAATGTGGGGATCAAACTCAGGCAGGGCCTTGGGCTTGCACAGTCAGCGTTTTACCAATTGAACCATCTCCTTAGCACCAAGACTAGAAACAACCCCTATCCTAAGTCTGTAAAGACCCAGCTGGGCCTGTTAGTCAGGACTTCATACTCCAACATTTTTACCTTTGACATGCCAGGAATTTATTTTTGATTCTAAAATTTCATCTTGGCTTTAATGATAACCATTCAAGAATGTGGAGGAACATAGATTTTTACAGGTTTCAGGATGAAAAGCTAAAGTAAAAGAAGTGAAATCTGGTAAAGGTTGTGTTTTCTGGAATGTTCCATAGTCCTGGGAAATGACAACTCACAGCAAAAGGTACAGAGGTTAAATGGCAAATGAGTAGGTTTGGGATTTGTGGACCAAGATCTGTGTCCAAAGCATGCCCTGAAACATTCCTCCCTCTACAGAAGATTTGAAGTAAAAAGCATCTATGGACTTCATGCCAGCAAAAGCAGGAAGGAACAGGCACAGGTTATATCAGTCTGCATCTGAGACCTGTGAGGCTGGCCCATGAGTATGCAATGGAGGGAGACCCTGAAGG